ATGACTATACAAGATGAGGTTTGGCGAAAACCTTTGATCGCTTTATCTCTTCGTGCCTTGCCTGAGCATGGCGTCCCAGACTTTCCAGGGTGCGTGCCCTCAAAACAGACCTGTATAGACCTTGTAGAACCCTATTACCCTTGTATTTGTACCAGTCTTAGATGGGGGTACCGACCTAGTCAGTAACTCTCCACCCACCCACCTGGAACTGTGCTACACTGAGCAGGAATTTTTGAAAAGGGCCTACAGTCTTCAGAAAACCCGAAGCGTCCCCGAGGTTGCTTTGCAACCAATTCGTTGAGCAACAGCTGTCCCCCAGCGTGTAGCACTGGTTGGGGCAACTTCGCTATTCTCGGCTTAGGATTTTGTAGCTTCTTCCCAAACCCATATAGCATGAGATAAAGAAGATGAACTTTGTTTGGGTACTTGCAAAGGGCCCTTAGACATTGCGCCCTCCAAGGACAGGAAAAAGCAGAGGGTCGTCCTCATAAACCCATGTGGGCCAACACGTGGGCTGCGTTTAAGGGTTTGTTGCTTGTGGCTTGAAGGTGTAGGGTGTTTGACTTAGAGATGGCAGCTTAGAGTTTAGGATACAAGTTTTTGTCAAGATGGCCAAAATCTACAAGGAGAGCCCCTTTTCCAGCTCCTAACCCCTGGACTCTAGACCCTAAGCCGTCTGCTGGGTTCTTGGAATTGGGTGTGTGTTGCAGATATGGGCGGTTTGCCAAAAGAGGGGTAATAGGGATCCTAGATATACATGGGCAGCATGTAGGGGATTACAGGGATCCCTCTTGGGCAGCATGTGAACATGCTTGTGACTATCATCCTTTCTGCTCCTGTTGATGGACGAAGTCCTGCATGACCCTATACCTAGACCTTCGACAGTACTGTTGTCTACAATATTTAGGGTCATGCAAGATGTTGTCCATCAGTCGTCTGAGCAGAGGTACGCGTGGACACTCATGGTGATTTACTTCCTGCAGATCTCCAAGAAATTGCCCTCCTTGCATGCAACTGGGATTGGATAGCAGCCCCCCTAAACTCAAGACTTTAGGCCCTAACCCTAAACCTTCAGCTTTAACTCCTTAACCCCAGAACCTAAAAACCCTACACCCTAAACCCCAACCTTAACCATAGACCGTACTGCCTTGCAACTTGGCGCGGCTTGGCCTTACTCAGGTCTTCCTTGCATCTTGAAAGCGGGCTTGTGCTTGATAGTGGAGTATATAGAGACGCGGCTTAAGCTTTAGGTTTGAAGGTATTGGGGTAATTGAGCGGAAAATGGAACCTACGACTATACAATCGAGAATCACATGAAAGAGAACATGGAAGATGACATGGAAACTGGGCATATATAGGGGTTCTTAGTGATATGAGCTACTGCCAAGACTCGTACATTAGGCTTATTCTGCTTGCTTGACCCTCCAAGCCAGCCGCCCGACCCTTGACAAAAAGACATGTGGGACCTGAGCGCAACCCAGGCCCTTTGCTGGAAACGTAACGTGAGTAATATTCTCCTCCCCCTAATTATTCGCGTCGTGGAGAGAAGGCGCCCAGCGTTTGGAAAATCAACGTTGATAGACGTTTATGGATGTGTAGAAAATGCTGGCAAGCGCAAGGATCAGGCATGTGGAGGAGATTGAGGCTGTAGGCTGCTTTTAGCGGGGCAGGTGCTTTTGCGCGATGATTTCTCAAGTCCATAAGGGAAGTTGATAGTGGACAGGCATACCACCACATGGTGTGGCCTGAAATGCGCGTTTCACCGCAATGAAACATCTGCTTCGCATTGCAACCGAATACCATTTTTGCGGATACGATGGTCACTTAGAGAGTAAGATTAGCCACTCCCTTGTGGTCTGTGCATTCTATAAGACGAGTATACTTTATTTGACCACCAAAAACACAACTCTCTCAATTGGGAATTTCTCAAGAAGGAGGGGTCCCCCATTTTCACTTTGTCAAACTCAATAGGTAACAACATGTTGTAGCAAGTGCGGAACCACATGCGTACAGACATACATATATACACATAATATATGTATATAGATATATATATATATATAGAGCCCCAGATGATTCAGCCATTCTAGGAATCCCCATGAAAGGTTCCATGACTCTGATATGTCTTGTGAAGGCGTTGAAACAAACACCTTCCGTCACCGCGAGGTTCAACGATCAGCCCCTCGAATGTTCAGGATAGTGTCCGTTTATAGTCATAGTATGATAGCTATCTGATAGCTTCACGGTCAACCCTAAACCATAAACCCCAAACCCACAGTTTTGGGCCTCGGGGATCCCATTGAGGCCCTTGGCTTGTTGACACTGCTTTCTCTGGTTAGCAGAGCTCTTGGATTGTTTTTTACATCTCGCTAGCAATTCATTCAGGAGTGGATCCCTATACTGGTGCCTATGTGGTATCCAAAAATGTAGAAAGTTCGTTGTTCTTGTCCATTCCCTAAACCCCAACGCCTAAACCCTGAATAGTAATTTCCATTTTCTTTTCCACTCCAACAGGAGGCAAATTTGATGTTAGCTACTGTTAGTATTAGGGTTACCAAGGGACCGAAAAGAGTGCACATAGGGTTTCCTTTAGAGGTTTTGAAAGGCTCCATTGTACATTTCATTTTCCATTCTCTTTTCCATTTGGTCCTCCGTTGTTGCGGTAATATCCCTCTCTAGACTTACACCCACAACCCTTAACCCAAAATGCTAACCCCACATCCCCATGTAGTCCCCATATCCATATGAGCTATAGTCTAAACTTCTAGCATCCCCCGTAATAACCCCATAATAGCCCCTCCCCCTTTAAGGAGTTCTAGGGTATAGCTCATGTAAGTTGTCTGTAGCTTTCGGCTTCACAGACGTGCTTGGTTTTTGAGTTTTACCTGGCCATCATGTGGCGATAGGTCTGAATTCAACATCACACGGGTTCTACTATTGGGGTTCCTATTGCAATACAGGTCCTCATGCCATTTCTCCCTTATTTGGGGAAAGTATTTTTTACATTTGAGCGCAATCAGCGCAATCCCAGGTATGCCGTAGTAAAGGGGATGGGATAGGTTTTAGGGTTTAGGGTTCCGTGTCCAGGGTTGGACGTTTCTCAAATTGCGGGGCTCATGGGGACCCTAGCGATATATGAGCATCACAAGTGGCTTATCTGGGCCCCTATAAGGATTCTAGACGGGTACGTAATTTTGTTGATGTGCAGAGCTCTTGATGGACGGCTACGTGGCTCAAGGTGGCTACGCTTTTCCAGCCTTGGGCCATGATGTAGAATCATTCGTCATAAGCTTTGTGAGGATTCACCAGTTCTTTCGCAGCTTAAGGAAAAATTCGTGATCCATTGCTTAGCCATGGATGCTACGCACACCTACTTTGCTGCCCATGCTGCAGATCCAGGTCCCTTACAACATCAGGTTATGAGCCCAACAGCTATAGATGGGGCAAGCGTTGTAGGTGGCAGGCCTGTGTCTTTTGGACCTCGGCAGATGCCGATCAGTTATGGGGCAACCGCTGCTCCCATTCCTGCCAGACAAGGTTTAGCCAATGGGGTAGTGCCAAGGCAGTCAGAGCAGGCGTCTTCGCAGCTGCTTGGCGTTGGTACAGCTTCTGCTTCTACAACTGAGGTGGTTGGCATTGCAGATGGTGCAAGGCATGGCAGCGTCGCAACCGGACTGGCCGCGTATACGATAGCCGGATCGGACGACGACGTTACGGCACGCTTAGGAGTAGGGGGCAGGGTTGAACAAGCGGCAACATACCAGCCCACACCACAGACCAGCAGCACAGCACCACAGCAGTTACCCCATCCACCTGCCACTCAGCAGCAGCAGCAGCAACAGCGCCTGACGGCAGAGGCTACAACTGCGCCTGCAGAAGTGCATGGAAGGGCCGAGAGTACTCAAGCTCAGGCCTCAGTGGACATGTCACCAGGTACTCGACTATCCATCGAGGCCCAAAGGGCCATGGCTCAGCTGTCCTCTCAGCGCACTGCGCTTGTGCAAGCACTTCAGTCAAGAGCTGCCAGGGCGATTACGATCGATGAGGGCCAATCGGCTCAGGGTGCTGACCAGGGAATAATGCGAGGGATGAGACTTCTAATGAGGAGGTTGTGTGGTACTCTCGTCTTCATGGGTTCCTCCGTAGGCGCGTGGTGGATCCAGTGAGAGAGCAGGTGGAGCAGTTTAGACGGGCGACTCCTATAGCCTCCCCTCAATCTGCCTGGATGTCTGCTCCTTCCTCACCTGAACAAGTGCTTGACCCCGATGTTCGGCAGGCAATGGCGCAGTGGACCGAACGAACAACTCCTCTCCTAGACCGACAACCTGCACAAGGCGAGATGCTGTCGGAAAGCGCAGTGCATGAGGAAGTTCGTAGGCAGGTCCAAACAGCACTCCAGCGTAGAGATCAACATGTGCAAGCTTTGCAGACTGAACTACGGAGTTGAAGCAGATCGTTCACGACCTGTTACAAGCAGGGCTGTCTTCAAGGGGAGCTGACAGAGAATGGAGGGGGCAGACCAGGAGGGACTACAGGACCACAGGGCATTGAACCTTGTGATAACCTGAGCCGTGTCAGCCCAGTTCCTGATGTTCAGCAAGGGGACTCTCGGAGATTGCCTGCGTGGCCAAGTTTCGGTGCCCATAGAGTTCAAGGGCATCCCGCTCAAGTAGATCTACAATCTCAAAGGGATCTAGGGCATCCCCCTCAAGTAGAGCTACAATCTCAAAGGGATCTAGGGCATCCACCTGGTTTATTTCATCCTTATGGACATGGACCTGGCAGTCCGGATGTCGTGCCAGGACATGCAAGTGCGCCTCAAGGGGATCCTGTTAGAGTTGCAGAACAGTGTCAGCCAGAAGAGCGTTCTTCAAGGGATGAGGCTACGGTTGCTAGACTCGGGGAAGGCGGCGGAGCTGCTGCAGGGAATTCTCTGAGGGCGACTGGCTTGGCCGTAGACAATGGAGAAGTTTCGGGGCACAGAGATCCAAGATCCCTAGGTAGAGCCTTGGAGCCTTCGATTGTCGCGACTGAGCGTGGAGCAAGTCATGGAGAAGCCGCTGGTGTAGGAGTAGCAGATGTAGGAAGCCCTTTGGACTTGCTCGCCAAGGGCATACAGCAACTTCAAGAACTTCATCTGCGTAAAGAATCTCAAGATCCTGAGCTCCTCAAGGGGAATGTTGAGATTCCGAAACTTCCAGAACCATATCAAGAAGGGAGTGCTGTAGCTTTCCTGGAATGGGTCTACGAAACCGGTCAGGTTGTGGGATCGATAACAGACCGTGCTGCAGTTTGGTGGGAAAGCAATTTGGCCTTAGCTTTGCAGGCGTACAAAAGATTCCAACACGAGTCCCCCTTGAACCGCTTGAAGATCCAGGTTGGAGAAGCTACAGGTGTAGATGAGCAGAAGTGGTCAAGACTGGAGAAGCGAGTCATGACTTTGTTGCTTCAATCTATGCCCAGCACTATCAAGAACGAGATAACCATGTTGCGTATCTCCAAGGTCAAGGATTGCCTCTTCAAGCTGTGCTCCATCTACGCTCCAGGAGGTGCGACTGAACGGGCGAGCTTGATTAGGCAGCTGGAGTCAATTCCGGTTCACGAAGGTGTGTTAGAGGTGACTTTGGCTTTGAGGAAGTGGAAGAAGCTTTTGGGACGGGCGTCGGAGATGGGTGTTTCGTTGCCTGACGGATCTGTCCTGTTGGTGGCGGTGGAGGCGGCTACCCGTAAGGTGGTGGAAGGGCATAGGGACATTGCCTTCAAGCTTAATATGGCCAAGCAGAACCTTCAGCTTCCTCATCTACCCTTGGTGGCATCAGTGCTAGCGTATGTGGATCATATCTTGGCTGAACTGCAGCAGGTGATCCCCCTTGGAAGAGGAGATGTCATCAAGCTTAAGGGCCTCCAGTCAGATCCTAGCTCGCCTACTTCTTCAGCTAATAGCCCTACCAGACCAGGCGGAGCTAAAAATGGTTGCAAGTACTTCCTTTCAGACGATGGGTGTCGTAGAGGAGCGTCATGCAAGTACTCACATGAGTTTGCGACCAAAGAAGAGAAGCGAAACCGTTGCTGGGACTGCGGGAGCACCAAGCACCGACGCAAGGAATGCCCTGTGGCTGCTAAACAAAAGGGGCCCAAGACCACTGCAGCCTCGATACAGCAGAGGACCGATGTTGTGCCCTCTGCCTCCGCTTCGAGTTCAACTATGCAGCCTCCTCTTCTACTGGATGCCCTGCAAGATGCAGCGCCTCCTAGAGGGGAAGCACAAGCGTTACCCACAACGGGGACTACCTCCTCGGCTGCTTCGACAGTGCTCTTGCCTGAGACGAAGGAGAGAGATGTTCAGGAGCTGCTGAAGGAAGCCAACGCAGTGCTGAATAAGTTCGTGAAGCTCCAAGCCCTCCAGGCTCAGACCAACGAGAGTGTAGGGATGCTTGATGGTGTGGTCAGATCCATAGCCCCGGTGGAAGGCGAGCGTTCAGCTCTTCTGGATAGCGGAGCCTCCCACCCGTTTCGAGCTCCTCGAACCAATCAAGAACACCATGAAGCGAAACGAGTAGCAGTTCAGTTGGCAGATGGGCGAACTGTACGTCTTCGACAAACTCATGGAGGGACTCTTCTTCCAGCTGAGCCTTCCTCAAACTCGTCGTCTTCGTGTACGATTTTGCCACTTGGAAGTTTGGTAGAGTCGTTAGGGTGTTCGCTGCGGTGGAGCAAGAAGAAGGGTCTTCAAGTTTTCCATCCTCGATATGGTCTACTCCCGACCAAGCTGGTGGGCAACTGTCCGGTCCTTCGCGAGCATGAAGCGCTGCGGTTGATTAGTGACCTGGAGGACTTAGAACTTGCGCGCCTGAGAGAGCAAACTATGGTTGGGGCTGTTCAGACTTTGGACGCAAGTGAGGCCTCGACCTTAGACTGGAGCTCGCATCTTGAGGAGTTCCTGAGCAGTGGCCAGCGTGTGTCCTTGAGAAGGATGCTTCGTGATCCTAACTGTCCTTTACATGAAGAGGAGGAGTCAAAGCGCATGGCCGTTGTCGGGGACTTGGATTTGAACTTCTCTGAGTCTGCGGGCGCAAAGTTCCTTAAGGCCTTGCCATTCAGCCGGGCGCGGAGACGGAGGTTGTTAAGGACACGCTGGATTGTCCACTTGTTTAGTGGAGAGGAGGGAGTAAATGAGTTCACTGCCTTGGAGAACGATGAGACGACAGTAGTGAATGTGGATATCCGTGTGTCAAAGGGCTTGGACCTGATGGATGATGGAGTGTTCCGAGCCTTGCTATGGGCAGCTGGTCGAGGCCAAGTTGAGGGTGTCTTTGGAGGGCCTCCTCGGGGTTCAGGAGAAGGGCCATCACTTTTGGTCAGCCGTATGATGATGTTGTGGACTTTAGCTCAGCAAGGAGCAGTACGAGACGGACTGCGTATACCGTTTTTTGCCATGGAGTTGCCCCCACGACATCCTTTCTGGAGGAGCCCCGCGTGGGAGCACTTCAATGCTGAGTACGACTTCCCTGTGGTTCAGGTCCATGGACATTTCTTCGCCGCAGACATGGACGTTCAAGGAGCACCTGTCACTTTGGAAGGCCTGAGTGGGGAGAACTGGAGCCCTATATCAACATGGCCTCCTTCGGTGCGTCTGCGGCTGGCTGCAGGCATGGCTTCTTGGAGACAAAGTACCAGGACGGTGCGTATGGCGAGGGCTATGGCAAGGCTTCGACGATCACCAGAAAGCATGAGCGAGGCAGAGCTACGACAATGGGAGGCTCACATCCGCAACGGGCATGTTCCATATAGCCGCCGCTGTGCCACCTGCGTCCGCGCTGCAGGGACGGGAAGAGCCCACCGGCGCACATTAGCGCCTTCTGCATATACGCTTTCTTTAGACTTGGCTGGTCCCTTCCGCCATGGAGCTGAGTGCGCTGATGGAAGCGGTTTCCGATATGCTCTTGTGGGTTCGTACTGCCATCCTCGCTTAGAAGGGTTGATGAGCGTCATCAGGCACCAGTCGAGGAGGAGGACGATTACCAGAAAGCCATGAACGAGAGGTTCCAGAACGTGTTCAAGGACATTGGGGACAACATCGAGTACCAGTCTTTGCAGTATGTGGTCCCTTTAAAGACCAAGACGGCTGTGGAAGTGTTTAAGGCCATCCGCCACTTGTACTTGAGCATACGCCGAGAAGGTTTGCCCCTTGCTCGACTTCACTCGGACCGAGCGCAGGAGTTCTGCACTGAGGAGCTCCGTACTTGGTGTGAAGCCCACGATATCATGCCAACTACAGGGGAGTCTCAAGCTCCTCAACAAAATGGACGTGCAGACGCTGCGGTTAAGCAGCTCAAGACAAGGGCTAAAGCACTTCTACGAGCCAGTGGACTTCCCCCTGATTGCTGGGCCTTGGCTATGCGGTTCGCGGCTATGAAGCAGAGAACGGCGGCGCTTGGCTTAAAGGATGACACTGACGGCGCGTCCTTTGGAGCTGTGGTACATTGCAAGGCCAAGTTGTTTGGAGAAGGCGGCCGATATGATCTCAAGGAGACTTGGACCCAAGGCCGTTTTGTTGGATGGTCAGATGATGTGGCTCATGGCAAGGTTGTTCGCTTGGACAACGGAGGCTTCATCACAACGACCCACATCAGGCCGTTCCTCATCGATGCTGATGAGTTGGTGGGTTAGGATCCTCTGGAAGCCCATGCGCCAGTGCCTGAGAGACGCGTAAAGGGAAAAACGACATTGAGGAAGCTTCAGTCTGACCCTTCGGACGCCTCAGTCGAGGAGCTAGCTCGAACCCTTCTGGAAGAAGATCGATGCACCGTTCAGGATGCTGTTGAGTTCTGGGACGTTGCGCGAAAGCACTCAACGCCCAGGGCAAGAGCATGTTTCCATGGCGAGCATCCCAGCTATTTTGCTACTGGTCTGTACGCGCATGGTGGCTTTACTGGGCTCCTCACAAACATGTACCGGTACCCCATGACCACTGCCTACTTGACTAAGGTCTTTGAGAACTACGCTGGCCAAGAGACGTTTAGCACTTTGACTGTGTCTGATGACGTCGGCGTGCGATGTCATAGAGATGTTCACAACGAAAGGGATACTGAGAACATCCTTGTGCCGTTGCTTTCAAGCGATGGAGGGGGTGTCTGGGTAGAGTCGCTTCCAGAAGATCACCAATGGGATGACGTATGGAGGCAGATCCCGAATGGTGAATGGAGAAGAGGCCACGTCCACCAGCTGAAGGCAGGGTCTCCTTTGAAGTTCAGTTCAAGGTTGTGGCATGCAACCGAGCCTTGGGAAGGTCGACGCCTTCTCCTCATAGGCTATACTCCGCGTATGAAGGCCGTGACACAGCCTACGTACGACTCCTTGCTGGACGCTGGCTTCAATCCTCCTGTGTTTCGAGGCCATGACTTTGTTACACCCACGTTGAACATGATGAACTTAGCGGCAGAGGATGTTGGAGTGGATGCTGTGGTCTTCCTTGTGCAAGAGAAATCGCACGGCTCAGGGGTTCGATCCAGTCAAGCTCTACGAGACCTACACTCCTTACAAGAAGATATCCTGGCACGCCTTGGTCAACGAGCTGAGTTCCTGAATGACATTCTGGCTGAGGAGGAGATGCTTGCAAGTGAGTTGGCTGATGTTAGCCAGCTCGTCAAGGACGAGGCAAGCGAGGCCAGGGAGCTGATCATGGATTTGTTGAAGGATGTGCAGTCCCAGATTGACAGCGTCATGAAGAAGTCTTCGAGCCATTTTCTTTGGGCGGCGTTTCTGGCTGAGGAGGAGAGCGAGGCTCTTGGGGACTTGGAATCCTGGTTAGGCAGCCTGGAGGAGGACTTAGGAGTCACCCTGACTGTTCCTCTGGACCAAGTGAAGGCCAACTTAGCGAACTGGGTGGATTCCATCGCCAAGGAGTTGTCCAATGTTGAACAGGGCGCAGGGGCTGTAGAACGCATCTCCTACGCCGCAGCCAGAGCCTGGAGCCTCAAGGCAAACTCCGTTTGATACCAGGAAAAATGGTTTTCACAGTGAAGCCTCCTTCGGAACCTTCTTCTTTCTCGTCAACGAAGGCAAAATGGAAGAGGAAATCACGATTAGTGATATGTGGCAATCGTGTTGGAGTTGACGCTGATCATACACGAGATCTTCTTTATGCAGCGGGTGCCTCAGCTGAAAGTCTGAGGGTAGCTCTTTGTTTGGCTTCTGCGGAAGGCTGGTCCGCAGGATCTACCGACATCACAGGAGCGTTCCTTCTAGCAGTTTGGCCGAAGGACAAACCAACCTACGGGGTCATACCGCCAAGGATTCTCATCCAGGCCGGCCTGATCGATGAGAACACCGTCCTTCTTGTGAAAAGGCCGCTGTATGGCTTAAGGGAGGCTCCTGCTCTATGGGCAGCCTACCGAACGGAGAAGCTGAAGGAAACTAAGGTTGAGTTCGATGGCGGTGTTTTGATGCTGCAGCCCCTGGTTTCTGACAGTGAGCTGTGGTTGATCTTGTACACCTCCGCAAAGGCTGAGACCCCCGAGCTCTATGGCCTCATGGTAACGTATGTGGACGACATTTTGTACTTGGCCTTGCCGGCGGTCATGAATGCTGTGCACGATGCTGTGTCGCGTATGTGGCCCTGCTCGGCTCTTGAACTTGCGACTAAGCCAGGTGGCGTTCGATATCTGGGCATGGACCTTGAGGAGGGGGAAGGCGTGTTCACCCTAGGGCAACGAGGGTACATAGACAACTTGGCTAAAAGCTATGGGATGTCCCCTGAAACTGCAGGCAGCCTTCCATGTCCCAAAGACTGGCTGTTCGATGATGAAATCAATGCTGAAGAGGAAAATTTTTCTGAGGACGAATTGCGCCGTGGCCAGAAGATCGTTGGAGAGTGTCTTTGGCTCGCCTATAGAACGAGACCAGATCTCGTATATATCACGAATTTTATGTCGTCGGTAGTCGGAAGGCGACCATGCTTCACGATGAGGATCGGCGTGAGGGTCCTTGCGTACTTGAATGGCTCTGCTGGGCTTAAGATCATGATGAATGGCGTCTGTGATGAGGCATCCAGCAACAGCAGCAGCAGCAGCAGCCAGCAAGTGACACCACCACAGCATACCAACCATAAGACCCCCTTTGTTGTTTCCCTCATAGGTTATAGTGACGCTAGCTCTGCCCCCTATGGAGGAAAGAGCTTTGGATGTAGCGTAGCTGTTGTGGGGCGATCGCCGGTTGCGTGGAAGGCTGGAAAGCAGCCATACGTGACTATGAGTGTCTGCGAAGCTGAGCTGGTTGAGGGATCGACTTGTGCCTTGCTGCTGGAGTCGATACAGGCCCTGTTGCTAGAAGCTTGCAGTTACCGCGCACCAGGCACCTCAGAGTACGTTATTCGTACGTCATGGACAAGGTCTCGAACCATCAGCTGGAGGTTGCACACGTTTCTGGTGAGCGCCAACTCGCCGATCTGCCGACTAAGCTTCATGGACGAGTTCGACTTGTGCAGCTTTTAGATCTTTGGGGTATGTGCGGCATACCGGAGCTTAGTCAGGCGAAGGTTCTTCAGCTGGTAACTCTGTCATGCGTCTTTTGTATGATGTTGGCGGTTCAGTCTCTGGGAGTTTGGGGCGCGGATTTTACAAAGGATCCAATACCTTCGACTGGAGCATGGGTTGACATTTGTGCTCACGCTTTCATGTCTTGCAGCTGTTCTTATCTGGGAGCTGACGAAGAAGTTTTGCAGATGGGTTCATAGCCTTTGCTGCGGCACTCGGAAAGCCCAACAGCTGCGGCGCCTTAGAGACATGGCCCGCTTGGCAGCCGAAGCTGAGCTGGATAGGGCTATGGATATAGCTAGCGAAGCTGAAGTGCGTCAAGCTCGGTCGTCTGTGACTCAGGTGGTGTCAGCTTCCCTGCAGCAGCAGGGCTGTGGCGTCTCTGTGGGAACTCAGACAACTGAAGGCTGGCAAGTTGAACGTGTTCGTGAAGTAGCTGTGCCCCAAGAAGTGGTGGTCTACAGGGATGTTCCTCGAGATGTTCCGGTCCCACAAGTGGGTAGGCAGCTGGATCGTATTTACATGTCCGATCATGGAGGACACGCGCACATAGATGGTGACTGCAGAGGGTTCAGACTGGTTTCGTCAAGGGTGCGAACGTATCAGTTCTGTGACATCTGTACTTCACGTCAGTGTGTGATTGTTAAGGATAGGCCCCGCAGGGGTGTGTGAAAAGAAAGGGGTTTGGAGGTCCATGAAAAACCTCCCGGCTGCCAAAGGCAGTTAAGTAGATGCACGTTCTGTCTTTGCATGGATTGCGAGATAGCCACTACGCCCTTGTGGCCACGTTTTTACACATCAGCCGTGTGAGCTAGCTCTTGGCGAGCAGCTCAAGGAGGAGTGTTGATGTGCAGAGCTCTTGATGGACGGCTACGTGGCTCAAGGTGGCTACGCTTTTCCAGCCTTGGGCCATGATGTAGAATCATTCGTCATAAGCTTTGTGAGGATTCACCAGTTCTTTCGCAGCTTAAGGAAAAACTCGTGATCCATTGCTTAGCCATGGATGCTACGCACACCTACTTTGCTGCCCATGCTGCAGATCCAGGTCCCTTACAACATCAAATTTCGATAAGCTTCCATGTATGTCTTTCTGGTTCTTTTTAGTAGTAGTATTTCTCATTCCGCCTGCTACATGGAGAAATCACCGATTTACGTGCCTAAGTCCTAAACCCTATACCCTAAACCCTAAACCCTAGGCCCTACCGCCCTGAGTCCACAACATTGAAATTTCAGATCGTAGCCCCATCCCGGAAAAGATTGAAATCTCCAGCCCCACTCGCCGCCAAACAGCTACTACGGTGTAGGGTTTAGGGTTTAGGGTTTAGGGGCCTAAATGCATCACTACATTGTTCATTGTGCTAAATTCCTTGTATACTTACCTTATTATGGTACCGCAGCAGACTTCAAAATGATGCCGTACAGAATCTCCTTATATAGTCGTTGTAGAATCCAAGCTCACTTTCCATGGTTTCCATTTGAGTTTCAATCAGCCTGGGCCCTAAACCTTAAATCAAAAATTATACCTGTTCAACCCCTAAAACTCAAAGGTTCGCCACGCCCGATGAGGCCTTGGTGTCCTGGGAGAGCCTCAGCCGAAGTTTTGAGATCTGAGATTGAACCTTTATCTATTTAATATTTTAGGGGTTTGGGGCTTAGGGCTGAATTGAAACTTAGAATCTAGGGGAGTACTTATGCGAACATAGCCGTACATGTAGGGCAGCAACAGTATGAAAAAAGGTTTCCAATGTAGAATTCCAATTCCATGTCCACTGGAAAGGTTGAAGCCCTAAACCTAAACCCCAGAACCGTACCCTCCCCCATTAGGGTTTAGAGGGTTTTTAGCACCCCTTGTGAAAAGACAGTCGTCCTTACAGAGCCCCTTGGAGTCTACATGCTGTTGATGCACAAATCCTGCATGACCCCAGGTCTACTGTAGCTCCGTAATTCCCAGGTTTGAGGTATATCATAGGATCATGCATGGCCTTCCCCATCGGCCCTATTTGTTTGCGGGAGGGCCAAGCTCTACCCGACATCGTTTTAAGAACTGACAATGATAAGGTCCCCAAGCAGGACCCTATAGTTCCCCTTAAGTAGATAGAATATGGTTTTGGGTATATTACAAGAAGATGATCCCCATATACCCCATATTCGATCTACTCGAGGGGAACTCTAAACCTTAAACCCCACAGGACCACAGTTCTGACAATCCCCACATACAGCCTGCTCGTAGATTCCAAAGAGATGGTTTCGGCTTTAGGGTACGTCGGTGGTTTCGGGTTGATTCCCAAGAGACGTGGTAACATGCTTACTGTCCCACCATGTTTACGGATCTTTTGGTGTACGCCCACACAGAGCACTGTCCCTGTCCAAACACGGAACCTGAAAAAGGGGCCTACAATGGACTACTTTAAGCGGTCCTAGGCGCGTTCCTTTTTGGTTGTCGGGAGGTAACGCCAAACTGAAAGCCTGAACCCCGAAGGTAGCAAGAAAGGATTCCGGGGCCACTTATAAATTACGCCCAACAATAGATGAGGATCAAGTGAGTCTAGTGTGTAACATGCTCACATAGCATACTAAACGCCATGTGTCCAACCTCTCAGAGACATGGTTTTGGGGTTCAGGCTTCAGGGTGAAGGCTTCGAGGTTCAGGATTGAAGGTTTAGGGCCCAACCTAACTGCTTCGATGGGATGATTCAATCCCTGCGGTGAGGTGACTCAGGTTTGTTTAGACTCGGTTTCTGGTGAGCGTGTAGGGTTTAGGGTGTTCCTACAGATCTCCTAAACCCTAAACCCTAATAAGCCCTAAACCCTAAACCCCTAAACCCCTAAACCCTACTAGATTATTGGCGAGTGCATACATTTGATGTGCTCTTTGAGAATCCCCAAAACACATGCAGGCACAATCCCCAAGCTCTGCATCTTGGATCCTAAGGCCTAAGCCACAAACCCTATGGAAATCCTCATTCACGAGCCCTTTGGATCTCTTAGTCCCTGAGTCGAAATCCAAAACTACTACAGCTAGGTTCCAAAGGCTTGAGCACAAAACCCTACACCTTATGCGGGCATATTACCCCAGTATACACTGTGTCATGGGAATAGGGCGGCTAATCCAAACACCTTACCATCATCATCATCATCATCATAATCCCTATATAACCGCTATCTAATCCCTGTAATCCCTGTAGTTTCCATTTTCCATTCTCCCTATATATCCCCACTAGTTCAAGATTTGGCATTTCGTCCATCCTGGGCACTACTTCCAGATTCTATGAGCCCTACTTGGAGGTCCGGCGTAGCATGAGGTCCCATAACTACAATTACCAGACAGTTACTAACTAGGTTATACCTAAACCCCAAAAGCATGTAAAATAATAGCCCTAAACTCTTAATAATAGCCCAAAAGGCCATTATTTTACATACCTTTGGGGTCCAGGTAAGTACAACGGACCTCCAAGTACGTCCCAGGGGCGAGACCGGTCCGAAGCTCCGCGGTGCGGGAGACCTGCTGAGGGGCTTCTTCCGTTTCTACGCGGAGGAGAGCTTTTTGTTTGAGAGTTGCGGGGTCGGGGAGAGAGGAGCGAGGAGAATCTGCGGTGAGGAGTTTCGCATAACCCCAGTATAACCCTAATATAACCCTAACATGATCCCAAACAATCCCGATATAACCCTAACATAACCCCAAACAACCCCAATATAACCTTAACATAACCCCTAATATAACCCCAACATAACCCTGACATAACCCCAAATAACCCTAATATAACCCTAACATAACCCCTAATATAACCCCTATAAATTTAACATAACCCCTAGTATAACCCCAATAAAACCCTAACATAACCCCTAGTATAACCCCAATAAAACCCTAACATAACCCCTAGTATAACCCCAATATAACCCCAACATAACCCCAATATAACCCTAACATAACCCCAAATAACCCTAACATCACCCCAAATAACCCCAATATAACCCTAACATACCCCCAAATAACTCCAATATAACACTAACATAACCCCAATAAAACCCTAACATAACCCCTAGTATAACCCCAATATAACCTTAACATAACCCCAATATAACCCCTAATATAACCCTAACATAACCCCTAATATAACCCCAATATAACCCTAACATATCCCCTAGTATAACCCCAATATAACCCCAACATAACCCCTAACATATCCCCTAGTATAACCCCAATATAACCCCAACATAACCCCTAATATAACCCCAATATAACCCTGACATAGCCCCAAATAACCCTAATATAACCCTAACATAACCCCGGTATAACCCCAATATAACCCTAACATAACCCCAAATAACCCTAATCACTTTTCAGCTGCAGCAGACTGGAGGTGTCTACATGCCCTTTACTCTCAGGCTCAGGATTACGCTAGTTTAGGGTCTAGGGTTTAGGGTTTTAGGGTTTAGGGTTTAGACTCTGATGAAGAATCGGGAACGTCTCCAATGCCTTAAATATGTTGGGATATCCGACCGCACAGCCTGGGGTACCTTCATCCTCCAGCAGCTACGCTTCTGCATGGGAAATGGGTGGCTCTCTTCGTGGGTATAGGTTTAGAATGGGTAAGGCTATATGTCAATATCAGCCCTGCAAATCAGGAGCCTACGGTTGATATGACTTCGAAACGAGGGAAAATAAAGGGTTATCTAGGGTATGTTTGGGGATTTTTGGTTCCCAGATCGTCTTCAGAAAGGAAGATACTGGCCAATTGGAGCAACCTTGTCCGACCACACCGCAAATGGCGGTTGAGATAGAAGTGGTCCCAAATTGGGACAATTGAAACACAAAATCCCACACCTGTGGCTTCGCCAACGTTCTTCGCAGCAATCATGTATGATACTTTACCAGCGGTTTGTGTGTCAAAGCATTATGTTATGTAACGCTCACATGTGAACCTAAAACTGAACGAGAGAGAGCTATCATATCACAG